AGGGGCGCCTATGACCTCAGGCCATCCGGTTCATCAGAAGACACTCAGGCTTTATCAAGTGGGAGTGCGAAAAGGGCAGGCCGTGCAGGCAAGCCACTGAGTAACAGACTCCACTGACCACAAACCTCCTACCTCTCTGAGCCCAGCCGCACCTCCCAGGGGTCAGCCTCCTGCCTCACCAGCTGGTCAGGCCACCAGAGGCACTGGGCAACCACCCCCAGCTGCCCAGGGCCTCACCCTCTTCTCTGCCAAGTCCTTCTCCTTCTGCAGCTGCCGGCTCCTCTCGATCCAGGCTGCAGTGTCGTCCAGCCAGGGGTCATCCTCCCCCAGAGTCTTTATCTTCCTGAAGGGAAAGGAGGGACCTTTTGGGGGCCCAGCTCCTGCTCCCCCACCCCGACAGCAGAGCTCCTTGGCAGCTCCTCGGGCCCCTGCCTTGCCCGCCCTGGCTGGGACCCCCTCACCCCAGCTTTTGGTTCAGGAGGCGCTTTTCCTTGGCAGCTGCCAGCTTTTCTCGTAGCTCCTCTCGTTGTCGCAAGGCCATGGGGTTGATGACATCGGCTGCCACGGGCTCCTCCTTGGTGCCCGCCTCTGGAAGGGGGGCCCAGACGTGAGGCTATGCCTGCCCATGGCTGGTGGGGAGAGGAGGGAGCCACTCACCCTGCCCCCTTCCAGCTCAGGGGGCCAGAAGGGGCCAGGAGAAGGGGGAAGGACCCTTCACCTCCCTACTGCCACTTTATCCCCACACTCCCGTGTCACCCCACACAGCATGACGGGACCCTCCGTGCCTTCCCGAGCCCCTCAAATCATGCTTAAAAAGAGCCCAACACCCCCAATCAGTTTGTAGCAACTGTGCACATCTCTCAGCCCAAATAATGCTCCCTCACGGCCAGAGTGAGGGGGCAACGCCAACTGTTCAAACTTAAATAAGCTGAGCTGCTGTCTGTGGAGTAGCCACTCTCAGTCTCACTGTTTCACTAATAAACTCTCTTTCACTTTAAACTAAGGGAGGAAGGGAGGATGGAAAGAGAGAAGGAAGGGAGAGAGGAGGGAGGGAGGGAGGGAGGAAGAGAGAGAAACATCAACATGAGAGAGACACATTGATTGGTTGCCTCCCACACATGCCCCGACTGGGGCCAGGGATTCAACCTGAGGTAGATTCCCTTGACCAGGAATCGAACCTGTGACCCTTCAGTCCGAGGGCCAACAGAGGGAGGGAGGGATGGAGGGAGGGAGGAATAGGAGAGGATAAGCTGAGCGCCATTATGAAAGCAAGGAGCCCCATGCCTATCAGCAAGTACACACCCACAAGACCACGAACTGGTCCTGAACCTGCGCTCCAACCCCATTTTTCTCCATCCAAATGCCCTCCTTCACCACCATCCGCAGCCACACACTCACCCTTCTTGACGGCATTGACTTCCAAGGGTTTCAGCCCCAACTTTGCCCGGAGTTTACTGAGAAAGAGATGAACGTATTAGGAGCTGTCCAAAAGATGGGACACCAAGTGCAGTTCTAGACAGACGGGGTGAGAACAGGAGGGGCCTGAACGGTCCCAGGGGCCCCAAACACAGGGTCTGACCCAGGCAGTCAGGGCAGAGGGAAGGGCACTGGCCTCCAAATCAGGGAGCAGGGCACTGGGCCAGGCCTGCCCTAACCCATGGGATGCCGTCCTTCCTCTTGGGGCTCAGTGGCCTCCTCTATAGCTCAAGTGGTTGCTAACTGATTCACGTGGCACCTCCAATTCCAGCCTGAACACGTGAGTGTCTGAAAGCCCCCCGAAAGCAACTGCTCCAGACCTACCCGATTCAGAGCAAAAAGGGGGGCACGAAGGAGACAGTACTTACTTGGTCTCCTCGATGCTAAGTGACGAAGCATCTCCTGAGCTGGTTTTGGAACTGGAAGCTGGAACAACAAGAAGCGCGGCTCAGGAGCTGCACACAAAGCCAAGAAGCCATTTCTTCGGCCCCAGCTGCAGGCCAAAGACGAGGCCCTTCACCAGCACCAGGCCTGGCTGAGACCCCGGAGAGCAGCAGCGTTCTCCCACCCCAGTAACTCCTCCTACCCGTTCCAGCCTCTGAGAAGCCCACCTCTTCTACATGCCTGCCTTTCTTGACCCAAAATGCCCAGCTTTCTGCATCCTCACTTTGCTACCCTTCCCTTTTCCAGATGCTGTGTGTTCCGCCCATGTTGCCCTCTCTGGCCTCAGTCTGACTTGACAAATGCCACCTTCCTGAAGTCCTGTTCAATTTTGATCAGAATGAACTGCTCCCCCCAAACTCCATAGCACGACTGGTCATTTCTGGGCCGGTTACTCCCCAAAGGCAGGGGCTGCGGCGGTGCGTGACCGCGTCCTCTGCAACTCATGTAGCCAAGACATGGACTTAGTGGTGCCTGCCCTGTGCAGGATGTTGGGAACACAGACATAAAGATGCATTTCAGAGGAAAACCAAGATGGCGGCATAGGTAAACACCGGAGATTGCTGCTTAGCACAACCACTTCAAGAATACAACTAAAAGACGGAACGGACATCATCCAGAACCACAGGAAGGCTGGCTGAGTGGAAATTCTACAACTAGAAGGAAAGAGAAAAGCACACTGAGACTCAGAGGAGGTGCGGAAGTAAAGTGCAGAGGTACGGAGGCGCACGGGGAAAGGGCTGGCAACTGAGGACGCGGCGCACGTGGAAAGGGCTGGCAGCTGAGGATGCGGCGCACGTGGAAAGGGCTGGCAGCTGAGGACTCGGCACACGTGGAAAGGGCTGGAAACTGAGGACACCGTTGTCTTTTTCAATCAGGAGGGAGTCTCAAGCTCCTTACTGTTCTGAACTCCAGTTCCGGGCGAGTCTCTG